GTGGATGGCATATCTGATGTGTAATATTTTTGTCTCCCTATTGCACATGGAAATAGAATGTTTGATTTGAAAAGATGCATATTGCTGCTATGCAAAAAAAAAAAAAAAATCAAAATATATTATTTAAATATTTAAACTCACTTTTACTTGTTCCCTCTAACTGTGTCTTGATTTCATCACTTGACAATTTTTCAGATGATTCTTTAAAGGTCATAATAGATGGCACATCAGGCATGTCACTTTTTTGAGTCTCCATTATTGCTGAAAATTAAGAAGGATAATATATGTTTATTTTATTATTCTACTGCAGAGCAAGAGTTACATCATCCACAACTATAATAGTGAAATAACTATAAAGTAGTGTTTGTTCTATAGCTACTGCAACAATATAATACTAATTTAAATAAACTCACTTTCACTTGATCCCACTAGCTGTCTCTTTTGCTCATCAGTTGGTAATTTTTCAGGTTTTACTTCAATGGTGACAGGTGACTGTAAATCAGATGTCTCACTTTTTTGAGTCTCTATTATAAGGTAAAATTAAGAAGGATAAAGTTTGTTTTGCTCTACAGTAATACACAGCAACAATGAAAGCAACAATTTAATACTAAAATAACTAAACTCACTTTCACTTGATCCCACTAGCAGTGTCTTGTGTTCATCACTTGATAATTGTTCAGATGTATCTTCAAAGGTGGCAGAGGATGGCACATCATGTGTCTCACTTTCTGTCTCCTCTTTAAAGTAATTTTTGATGATTAATAATTCAAATTCTTAAGTCTACAACTTATATTTTATCTTTAATATTAAAATTCATATTACTGTACTGATGTTTCTGGTAAAGATGTTTACATCACAGACAATTTTTATAAAGCCATTTACCATGAGTATTAGTCTAGGAAAAAATGAGTTAGAAGGAGCGGAATGTTACAAGCAATCCACATAGCCAGATATCCTAATTAATCCCTTCTGGTCACCCTAAGCCTGCTGACACTTGATTTTACACCTTGTATAAAAATGGCCCCCATTTTTAAAAATGGTTGCCAAATTTATCTAAAATGTGCATAAAAATGGAAATAAATATACCTGTCTCTTATACACATCTAGATGTGTATAAGAGACAGATCATGCATAGAAACGTTGACGCCTGCAAGGCTCTGGTTTATAAATTGGGACTACTACTATTCCATAATAATCAGTGATTATTTTTGACAAGACCATGGGCAACAAATTGGCTGACACAAAAGAGAAAACTTAAACATAATTATGACATGCTATTAAATGCTGATGCATTTGGATGATTGTACTGATATCAATGGATAAAATAGATAAAGATGACTGTTCAACAGCAAAAAAAAAAGCAAAAAAATAAGCATTGTATTTTACATTACATGATGGCTTTGGATTTACCAGCAATATCATTATCAAGCAAACATCCAAGTTACTTTACACAGAGCTTTTTTTTTAAATTTCTTTATTGTGTGATATATCTTAAAATATTTGATTTAACTCCGAATTAATTTCTGACATAGCCATTGAGGATAAATATCTAGTCAATTTGGTACCATGGACCTCAATTATTAAAATAATCTGTGGTTAATGTTCAAATACATTTCCAAGAAACACAATCTGGTGTTATACGTCAGAATTATTAAAATAAAAAAAACAATATAATAATAAAAACATTGAAATCTTTAAACACTCACTTTCACTTGGTCTCACTAGCTGAGCCTTGTATTCATCACTTGACATTTCTTCAGATGTTTCTTCAAGGCTCATAGTGGATGCCACATCAGGCATGTCACTTTTTTGAATCTCTGTTATAGCTGTAAATTAAGAAGGATATGGTTGTTTGTTTTAATCTACTGCTACTGCAGAGCATGAGCAACATCAACAACAACTACTATGATAGTGAAAATAATTAAACTCATATTCACTTGTTCCCACTTTTTAGCTTTATATTATTATCGTTGCAAGTATAAACAGGCCTTCAGCCATGGAACAGCTGAATATGTTCTGGAGGGGTTAGTGGATGGCATATCTGATGTGTAATATTTTTGTCTCCCTATTGCACGTGGAAATTAAAAAGGATGTTTGATTTGAAAAGACGTATATTGCTGCTCCACAAAGAAACCAAAATATATTATTTAAATATTTAAACTCACTTTCACTTGATCCCACTAGCTGTGTCTTGTGTTCATCACTTGACAATTTTTCAGATGATCCTTTAAAGGTCATGATGGATGGCACATCAGGCATATCACTTTTTTGAGTCTCCCTCATTGCTGAAAAATAAGGGTAATATATGTTTATTTTATTATTCTACTGCTACTGCAGAGCAAGAACAACATCATCAACAACTATAATAGTGAAACAACTATAAAGTAGTGTTTGTTCTATAGCTACTGCAACAATATAATACTAATTTCACTAAACTCACTTTCACTTGATCCCACTAACTGTCTCTTGTGCTCATCAGTTGGTAAGTGTTCAGGTTTTACTTCAAGGGTGGCAGGTGATTGTAAATCAGATGTCTCACTTTTTTGAGTCTCTATTATAAGGTAAAATTAAGAAGAATAAAATTTGTTTTGCTCTACAGTAATCAATGAAAGCAACAATTTAATACTAAAATAACTAAACTCACTTTCACTTGATCCCACCAGCAGTGTCTTCTGTTCATCACCTGATAATTGTTCAGATGTATCTTCAAAGGTGGCAGGGGATGGTACATCATGTGTCTCACTTTCTGTCTCTTTAAAGTAATTTTTGATGATTAATAATTGAAATTCTTAAGTCTACAACTTATATTTTATCTTTAATATTAAAATTAAAATTAGTGTACTGTTGTTTCTAGTAAAGATGTTTACATCACAGACAATTTCTATAATGTCATTTACCATGAGTATTAGTCTAGGAAAAAATGAGTTAGAAGGAGCGGAATGTTAGAAGCAATCCACATAGCCAGATATCCTAATTAATCCCTTCTGGTCACCCTAAGCCTGCTGACACTTGATTTTACTCCTTGTATAAAAATGGCCCCCATTTTTTAAAATGGTCGCCAAATTTATCTAAAATGTGCATAAAAATGGAAATAAATATACTGTAGATACGATTTAATACCCGATTCACACGTACAAAAATCTTACAAAATGTAACAAAATGTAACCAAAAGTAACATTTTACGACACGTGTGAAAGTACCTCCGTGTAATATCCTTGTAAAATCTCGGAACGTCTCGGTAATCTTTACCAGCCTCGCTGAGGCTGGTAAAGCTCCCGAGATGTAGCATGGATGGATTTGCGCATGCGCAGGGATTTCAACACAACAACAATCTACTGTGTTTCACGGGGTTCTTTGAAATTTCTTCCTTCTGCAGACGATTCTGATCCACTAGAAATAGATAGGCCTAGTTTTTCTCAATGATGAATAGATTACCCTTGTTATTGATGTTAATTAGTAATGGTAGAAGAAGAAGATATACAAAAAATAAACGTCGGGATGGTGTTAGTACTATTACTAGTATTATCAAGAGTCGACAGAACGTTGGAAGCTATGCCTAGTTTAGTAGTAGTAGTAGTAGTTTACAGCAGTTGATTGCTTCGAATTGATTGCTTCGAATGTTTACAGTTATGGTGAGTTCAACAGTCCATCTGTGACAGGGGGGTTCTCAACTAGGCCTAGGCTAGACCTATATCGCAGTAGGGGAAAAAATGATTCATTGAATAAACACTGAGTAAATTTTACACGACCTTGGCATTACCTTACAGACGCGTGTGAATGCTTTTTATCTCGGTAGGAATAACTCGGGAGATCGCTCGGTTACAATTTGTTACTTTTTGTTAAATTTAACTTCACGTGTGAATCGGGTATTAGTGTCTAAACTTATAATTTCAGGCAACATTCTAGACATATAAAAACTACTGTCACTCAACATATGCAAAAACTGGTGTTAATCTGTTTTAAAAGAAACTAAAAAATATACTTAAAATGTAGAAAACTGGATAAGTATATAAGTTACTAGTACAGTTTGCTAGTTTGTCAAGGGGTTCATGTTTAATTTTTGGGTGTTCCTGTTTCATGCTTGAATGTACTTGTTCCTTTACTGTTCACTTCCGTCACAGTTTATAATAATAATAATAATAATTTTGGCTTATATAGCTCATTATGCTAAAGCCTCAATGCGCTTAACAATAAAAATAAATAATGCTAGGAGAAATTTAAGAAAAGTACACGTTTAAAGGGTAAGTTTTTAAAGCTGCCTCAAAATCAACAATGGAAGTTGCCTGTTGGATTGTAATAGGCAAAGCATTCCAAAGAAAAACAGAAGCCCAAGAAAAAGAACGATTACCATAATGCTTTGTTGACGGGCGAATAGAATATTTATTACATTTTATCACGACTCATTAGAGAATAAAACATAAAATAAATAAGGAAACATGATAAATAGAAAAAGGTATCCAAAGCAAGCTTTAAACAAAATCACATAAAAAAAGTATACATAAAAATAAATAATTCATTAAATCTTATGACAATAATTTATCTAGTAATAACTAGTATGCATAAATACCTCCTCAATTGAAAATTAAACATGTCAGTAATTTATCTGTATATTATATTTTCTAATTATTATTTTTTATTTTTTACTTTTATCTGCCAATAAAACAAATAATGAATTAAAGTTTATGACACTACCCTTTGTATGGAGAAACACTTCAAGTGGCATTTAAAGATGTTAGTAATTTTTTATACTAACATCTTTTTTCCATACCAAAGGTAAAATCATAAGCTTTAATTCATTTATTTGTTTTTATATATTTTCAAATTATCTAAATTTGTTTTCTTAATTTATGATCTATCAATAGATTAGCCGTAAGTCCTTTAACATTTTTTTCTCATCAAAGAAATAAGGTATGGAATGCCAATTAACTTCGGTATGGTGCACACCAAGTGCAAAAAAAAAGTTTATGGCCTGGAACCCAGGCTCTATTACTGTAATTTGCTATTAAAGGTTGATGTAATTTTCTTTTGAATGAGTGATTCTTTTAGATGGCTATTACCAGTTTGTACACGATATTTGTTCTGAAATGTTAAATACTAGATTGATTGAATACTAAATTTTTAATGAGATAATTTCTTCATGTGTATTTGAGGCTAAATTCACTAAATAAACAGTTCAAAATCAGGTTAATTTAAGCCCATTAAATGTATAATTGTGAATTCTATGAAGGAAAAGATATAGTTTCATAAAAAAAATAGGCCTCACTTTTTCTAGTCTCTGTAAGAAGTGATCATAGGACAGAATTTTTAAAGCCTAATATTGCCATATAAAGTCTGTCTTAAACGTAATTTGGATGAATGCCATTTTAAATATGCAAATTAGGCATTTAGATGAAAATATTGGAGGATCTACCAAGTTTTCTTAATCAGTGAGTTCAAAATAAGAAAAAATCAGCTGGATCCCAGCCTCTACGGCAAAATGCCAATTGCATCATAATTTGCTTAGGTTCTGCATCCAGATAAAAGACTTTATTTCATCTGCCTAAGTTGGTAATTATACAGTAATAATTGTTGTGGAATGCCCTTATTTTTTTAATGAGAATTGATAATTTGAGAGATTGTAAGGAAAATTACATGAGCTATTGCATAGGATATAAGTCTCCCATATAAAGATTCTCGGGATTAAGAATTAGGACAAGCTTTCTTGGGCTTCCCATGTTTCAGAGATGGTTTCTAGAGCTTCAAAAAGGTTATTTTCCTTATGTATTCTAAAAAGAGCCAACATTAGGCTTAATCGACTGGTTCATTTCGTTGACTAAGATTTTTCGTTGAGTATTATTTTCATTCGACTGGTTTGTAAAATAGACTTCGTTGACAACAAAAATGAACGTAACCAGAGTGTGTTAATCAGCATTAAGTTATCCACATGACCAAAAAAAACTTGGTCGATTGGTTAGTTTAGAAACAACACTTGAGTTAATATAATTACTTCCTTTATTTTTGACGTGTTGAGTACGGTCGTATATTCGAGATGATGTTACCCTTACAGGTATATGCCTCTGTTTGTTCCTGCTGACACTACATCTGCATGGTCTGGTTGCCGCTATTCCAAGATGGCTAATTCTGGAGAAAAAATCTTTGACCGGAATTGCTGTACACCGTTGGCAAATTTTATAAAATTCGCTAATTGTGTAAATCATATCTTTTTAATGCTGCTTGGCGCTTCCAAAAGGCCCTACCTCAGGGTTAAAATCCACTTTAAAATTTCAAAATCTTCTAAAATATCTATATACAAAAATATCAAAAACGTTGAAATGCAGCAAC